CCCCGCCCCGCCCCGCCCGGGCGGGCACCCCCTCCCTTCCCCCCGCCGCTGGGCCGCGGGCAGGCGCCCGGGCGGGTCCCAGAGCGGCCGAAGCCCGGCCCCGGTCCCGGCAGACGGCGCTTCGCACCCTGCCCGCCCCTCCCGTCCGTGAGGGGAGCGCCGCGTGCGGCCCGSGGGCGGGAAGGGCTCCCCTCATCCCCGCCGCCGGCAAGGCGCTTGGCGGAGCCTGTGCCTAAATTCAGGGAGCAGCAGACGTTGACCACTTCTGCCTAGTTTTGTGTAATATGATTCTAAACTCCTTTTGCCCCCGCCACGCAGCTCTCCATGGAAACCCATCACTTTCCACCCCGGCCCTTGTCAGCAGAGGAATGAGTAAATGGGGAGTCGAGCAAAAAGCTTTAGCTGGCAYATCTAGCATCAGCGTGAGCTGCAGAAGCAACAGGTAAACGCCTCCTTCTAAAAGTCGGATTTTGTCATAATTTCTGCTTTACCTGCTGTTGTGRTGTCAAAGGTTATCGCTGTGCCTTAGGGTAAAGCAGAGCAATCCAGTGTGGTGAGGAAAGCCATCTGTGCCTTTAAAGGGAAGTTAAGAAGTTGCAAGAATTCTTTCTAYAAGTTAGTTGTGTAAAATGAAAAGCAAAACATACAAACAAACAAAAATCACGTGTTACAGCTCCAAATAAAAAACACGTTTAGACTCCACAGAACCCAAATGCGGCTGACTTTTGGTCTTTGCTGTGCTCAATAATTGCTTGAAATRTGTGCCGCATGGGTAGATAATCTCAGCTGCCTCCAAATAGTTTTTTTTTAATAGGTGTGTCATTTTATAGGGGAAAAAAATATCAAATAATCATATCACTTGTCTTTTTTTGTCTTTTTTTTTCTTTTTTTTTCTTTGCATCTGACCCAACTAACAGCAAAATCAGAGGGACTCAATGAAAACAAGATGAATTGATTAGGAAGAGGGGAGTTTTTCATGGGCTGCAAACTGGTATTTGCCTGATAATTAGGTGACCTTAAAATGCATTTCAAGGGAAGCTTTGTTTTCYAAATAAATAACAACATGTGTACTAATTTACAGTGGAATTAGTTAATAGGCCAAATCCTGCAGCCTTTTCACAGCCAAAATTCTCCTTACAACTGGTCAGGAAGTGCTGCAAAATGTGGTTTATAAGCTCCTAGGTACAAATACTAAGTACAAATTCTAATGGTGTTTTTTGTTATTACAAATCAGAATGTGCAGGCAAGATGCAAAAAGAGAGAGGATCTTGACTGTGCATACAGTCAGATCAGAAAATACATAAATGGACAGCAAGTGGGAAAAGGGAAAAACATGGCACGTGAAGGTGCTTACTTTAAAACTGTGAATTGCTGTAACTTTTCAATCTGCTGAAGTTGTTAGTCCCCTTGGACAAAATTCTGCTTCTCTTATTCACATGTATAATCTTACTGAAAGGACAAAAGCGCTGTATTTGACAGTAAGGTAAGGAGAATTTGGCCTTTTCAACACAAACTGCAAAGGGTRAAGACATTTTAAGAATTGAGATAGGCTTTAATATGTTTGACTTTATTACCAGCCAAAGAAAAAAGAACATTCTAATAATTCTCCATATATGAATACAAAGCAAGCTTAAGTCAACACGGAGCTGCAACAAATTTCTTTAGTTCATTTTATGTTTTGTTTTTATCGTTTCAACAGTTAAAGTAAAAATATAGGGGGAAGTTCTCTCTGTTTAAGTTTGGAGAAAGTGCACTATAAAATGGAACCCCTACTGGTGTTCATTAGTTTTAACAAAGAGTCTGGTCATAGGTTAATGCTGGTAGATGATATTGTAGCCCACCACATGCTAACTGTCGTCACTGTGAAACTGGTGCAGGGAAGCCTGTGTCTAAGAGAATGAGAATTAAAGGAACAAAACAATGCTTTCATACTGCAGTTAGTTTGCAAGGAGAATAATATTGTATCCACATGTACTCTACAAAAGACTATTTTCTTAGTCACAAAGCCATCAAAACTCTGCAAAATAGTTTTTATTTTATACAACATGGGGTACAGGAGGCAACTACACATGTGTGAGATTGGAAGATATAGTGTCTTCTAGCTTGATAGAAGGCAAAATGAAAAGAAACATTGTTTCCTCCAGTAAATTCTTAGAACTGCTGTGCCTATCTGAAAGGTTGAAGTTTCTGGCATTTCAAGTGACTTATGCAGAATCACAAATGTAAAGCATGTGTTAATTTGTAAAATAAACATTGATTCATATCATCTCACTGACGTGAGAAAAAAAATTGCAGAAAATGAAGTAAAGAATATGTCCTCATCAGTCCTATCTGACTGAGATAAATCAACTGGATTTTGTTGAAATCAGTAAAGATTTGGCAATTTCTTTTTGTTTAGTCCTCCCAGATTTTAAATGTATAGACTTGTGTCATCAGTACCTTAAGGACTGGCAGTGCAGGGATTCTCTCAGGCCCCACTGCAGGCTGACTTCATTTCCTCAGTACACCAAGATCACTCATGATCACCAATAACCATAGCTATCTCAAGCCATCTTTTGAAGACATCAGTATGATTCTTTAACTTCCACACCCCTCATCCCATGGTTTTATCTGTGCTGCTGTTGCTGTCTTACCTTATGTGAGCGAGGACAGAATCCCTACTTCCCCAGACCCTCAATTCATTCATTATCTATTTAAAGTGATTTCTTTCTGGGGATTAAGGTAAGTATGGACAGATCATTCTGTTAAATTCAAAATATCCACTTCTAGCAAYATAAACACGACCATCAGTCAGAGACTTTCCTTGGTTTGTTTTTTCTCTTTTACTTAATCATTTAACTGTAAAAGCTTATACAAGTTTATACATACGAAAGTGTTTTTAGATTACTTCAGCTTTACATTATATACAAGATTAACTCCAGTAATTGTTACCAAAAAGCTGCAAACCTTTAATCCTTTTCACAAGAATATAGTTACTTTCTTTTTTTTTTTTAATATACTATACATGTAACTATTATTGATATAATTGATTTTTAAAAATCTTTGATTATGTTTGTTTCAGATTTTTACAATTTAACAGAATATTCTAGATGAATGGGAAAAATTGATTCTGTTGTGAATGGTGCTTGCTACATTAAGGCCACATAGCATGTGTGTTTAGATTAGAAACAGAAACTTACATCTTCCTGTTTGTGGGTTGCTTTTCAAATGTTACCTCAGTATAAACAAACTTGTTTAAAAGGAGACTGAACTAAGTAACTTCTGATGCAMAAGATGTAGGTGAACCTGAAAATTTTGTCACCGATGCATGAATGAAAGGAAGTTCTTTCCTTTTAGGAAAAGGAAATCTCTTCAACTGAACACTGAATTTCTACTGTCCGTTGGCTCACTAACTCTGAACTAGTCTGTAATTATGTACTGTTATTTCCATGCTCAAAACAAAGAGTTTGTTTAAAAAGTATGTATTTAGGACTACTTCAAACAACTTAACTTCACCAGATCTTACTTCAGAGCAAATCTTACAGTTTTGTAAGAACTCAGTAACACAATCAGATGACCTGCTGAGAAAGATATGTGTCAAACTGTTGTGAGCTTAATACCTCTACTGGTTTAAAGTGCTTCAGCTTGAGATGTGCAAAGTTAAGCCCAATGCAGCTCAGTGTTATTATGCCACACCACTACTTCTTATGATTAGGGTGAATTAGTATTTCATTGAAATTTACTCCCAAGTCAAAGTTGTTGCCTTGTGAGTTACTTCTCAAAGTCATATTGTGATCCTGATCAAGGTCTTTATGGATATTATTAAACAGCTAAAAATACCCTTTCAACACACTATTTACATTACTTATTTAGAATGCTTAGCCAAGTCACCACTTAAATAGAATAGGCTTTCACAACTCTTTTGTTATAGCCTTTTAATTTAGTGATTCCTTTTTCAGAAAAAAAAAAAAAAAAAAGATGCTTTTAAAGAAAATAACATGCAAGGATTGTTG